GTGTAGCTTTATTCACCCAGTTTGGTGTTACTAACCTTGGGATTGCCTTTGATGGAGGACATGTGTGTCCACTGTGTCTTTCCCTTGCGTTTATGCCTGAGATCCAATCTGGAATAGCTTTGGGATTGAGAGAAAGAGAGAGAGAAAGATAGAAAAATAGGGAGGGTGTGTGTGTTACCATCTTGAGGCATCCCTAACAGAGAAGCCAGGCTGCCAAATACCCACCTCCAGTAGACAGTCCCTGTGGACTGGATTCAGCTGTAAGGCTCCCCTGTGTGACTGTCGTGTGTCTGGTTGGTCTCTCTGCCATCAGTGTACCCATCAGATGTGTTCAAGCAGGTGTGAAGCTTTTCCCATTCTATTTTCAGTGACAATTTATTTTCCTTTCTCTCCTTTTCCCTCTAAGTTAGGGGTTGGTAGTCGTGTGTGTATTGGTGAAGGGCAGGAGGATGACCCAACATTCGTTTTTTGTTCCTCAGTGGCCATTATTTTGACATTTTTTGTCACATATTTCCACAGTTTGGAAACAAAAAAGAATATTCATTGGATTTAAGAAGACCCCGTAATCTCTGGTTCTACAGGCCAGCTTTGTTAGATAAGATTAAGGATTTTGTGAATGCTCTCTCTTTTCCCTGGAGATTGCACATTTGTACCAGCCATTGTCTGTCACGGCAGAGCTTGATGGCAGCTGGCTGGAGATGCAGCCACCGCAGTGGAGAAGCAAGCGTTAGGCAGCCTGGGTTTATAAATCTCAAGCGTGTCTCTCTCCTCACCTCCAGTAATACGCCCAAAAGAGGGTTTCTTCTGTGTCCTTCTCAGTGGAAAGAGGAAGGGTTACTCAACAGGAAAAAGCAACATGTCAACTCCTGTAAAATAGTTGTAAAGCACCATATGTGTCCAGGGAGACCATCATTGCTTTATTTGTACTGTTCATTATTTGCATGGTTGTGTTCAAACTGAAAAATCTTACTGTAATTAAGTAGTGCTTTTATTTATATTGGAAAGTATGTAAATTGTTTGCCTTCCTGCATTTGTTACAGTACTCATAGAAGACTCGCAGATTCTCTTGTTTATATAAAATTAAAGACAAGTAAGATGACACTCATAATACTTGGAGGTAGGATGAGATGTAGCTTTACTGAACTTAAAAGAAGTCTTCCAAAGGCTGGCATGGCTTGCAAAAGGTCAAAACCAGTCAGCCCTCTCTATACCTACAGATAAGGAATGGCTCTAGGTAACACAAAAGTGATACAGTAGGCCTGTGGACCCACCAGGCTTATACTTTAGAGGCTGTATTTTTAAGACAAACTACATAAAAATTATATTGGAGAACATGATTAAAAATGGTATGCTTTTGTACTAGAGAAGAGTAAAGTGGTTGGGAGGAAGACAAAACAATCCTTCACACTTTTCTTAAATAAGATGAAATTATTGACTGATACCACTAAAAACACTTTTCTTTTGCCTAAAGTAAAGTGTCTTTTGTCTTTTGTTTTCCCTGATAGCACCATCATCCATTGCTTTGGTCCAGGCTAAAGAAGTCACAAGATACAGTGTGGCACTGGCTTGGTTGGAACCAGATCGGCCCAATGGGGTAATCTTGGAGTATGAAGTCAAGTATTATGAGAAGGTATAACTTGAATGAGCAAGGCTCCTTCCTTCCTTCCTTCCTTCTTTCCTTCTTTCCATCCTTCCTTCCGTCCTTCCTTCCTTCCTTCCTTTCTTCCTTCCCTCTGTCCTTCCTTCCTCCCCTCCCTTCCTCCCTTCCTCCTTCCCTTCTGTTTAGGTGTTTGCCAGTTATAAATTGTAAAATACCAGCAAATCCCAAAACCAAACACGTTTTTTGTTTCCCAATTAAGTCTGATTATTTATTATTTATTCAGTTATCTTGAAAAAAATAGAAAATAATATATTGTGTTCTAATATAACTATATTTTCCTTTCTAGTAATAGAAATCAAGATAGCTAAGAAGTTCTAATCTATGAGCCTTCTATCAGGGAGAGTGACTCCTAAAAGTTGAAATAATGATCTGTTTAAGTAGATCACTGCTATTCAGAATAAAGGTGTGGGTTTTGATGACTTTTAATAGAAAATTGGGGAAGGAAAATTACATTCTTCAACCTCTCGAAGTTATAGAAAGGCATTATTTTTACAAATAACTTGTCTCTCTCTTAAAGGACAGAATTCTAAAGAGAGCTATTTGCATTCAAGGTTGTCTAGAAAATGAACAATTGTCTTTACTTTCTTTTTAAAGATAATCACTTATTGGCTTTCTTATTAAAAGCAAAAAAGGGATAGGATTTTTTCATTGAAACCAGATTACAACATTTTTGACATTTTCTAGATAGAAAATAGAAAAAGACAAGGGACCTTCTTACAGTTATTTCTTTTAAATTGCTGGATGTGGAACTAGAAAAGCCACCAACCATCATTTAATGTTCTTTCCATAAAAGATTATGAATAAAGATCTGGATGTGGTCAGTGTCAACAACAATCGTATCTGAACTCCACATTTCTTTCAATATGTAAGAAGTAATGACAGTACTTACAACATCGCAGAGAATATAAGCTTTAGAGAGTCAATCTCCATTTACTTTCAACTTCTGAGTGGACTAGCTCGGCTCCTTTAATATTGTGCCTAGAGTAAGCAGAGGATTTATTTTGCCACTTTCTCTGATTTTATCTTCTCGTAATATAGGATCAGAACGAGCGAAGCTATCGTATAGTTCGGACAGCTGCCAGGAACACGGATATCAAAGGCCTGAACCCTCTGACTTCCTATGTTTTCCACGTGCGAGCAAGGACAGCAGCTGGCTATGGAGACTTCAGTGAGCCCTTGGAGGTCACAACTAACACAGGTAACAAGGACCACCCAGACTCAACGAGTTCTGAGGCTCTGTTTATAGTACAGGGTGAATCCCATTACGCTGAAATCTAAGGAGCTGTACGTAATTTTTGGCTAGGCAAACGTTCTGCTGCAATGAACATTGCTTGAAATAAGATAGCCGATGTCTGTAACTCAGAAAATTTCATGCTATTTAGAGAAGAGCATTTTTCATAATAATATCTGATCTATCTTTTCATATGAATGAAAAATGTTGCCTATTTTTCCCTTATTTTGAGCCTTCTATAAACCATGAAAAATGGGATTACTAAATTGACCAATTGAGGGTTATATAGCTACCCTGTATTAAGATAGGGAGCTTTCTCCCTGAGAAGACTAAAGAAGGGGCCAAAAATATTTTTCCTTCTACTTATTTCTAGGAATCTGTTTAAATTAAGTCAGTTTTTTTTTTGTTGTTTTTTGTTTTTCGTTTTTTTTGAAAAAAGCTCCTTTGGACAAATGTATCAAACATTTCAGCATTGTGAGTTGAACCACTGGTTGATTAAGTCAAAAATGTTTCTAGAGGGGCCTACCCATGAACAAGAAGTTTGCATAAGACATCTCCACTTCCTTAATTAACAAACCAAAATTGGGCCTACTTAATGAGGAGACAAGACTGTGGGGCAGAATTTTTGCCATGGGGTAGAATTTTCAACATCAGCTCTATAAAGTAATTTTGTTCACAAAGTATTAAATAACATAAAAATCGGGAAAAAGGCAAAAGAGAAAGTAGAGTTGAGTCTGAAGGGGACGGACATCCTTTGGGATTATCCAGGAAGGCTACCAGGAGGAAGTGGCTTTTGATTTGGGCAGTAACAGGCAGGTTTTTGATAGCTATGGAGGAAGCAGGTACATTGAAAACTACTGTCCTTTCTGAAATAGCCAAGTGTCTTTCTCACTAAGAAGTACATTTGATCATTATGTTTAATGTTAGGATGGGGCTAGAAAGGAAAAAAAGAAGAAAACAACGAATTATGTTTGCCATGGGATTTAATGAGTCTTCTGTTTGAAGTTCTTCATACAATTATAAAAAGAATGTCTTTGTCTCATTAAAGCTGTCTTAGAAAATGCTGTTGCATGAATACTTAATAAAGGGCCAGAGAGGCTGTGAGCATTCCGAATGACTTCACAAAGTTGAAAATTGTCACCCATTCAGAAGTTCTACCTCTCAGTACTTTCCCGAAGGTGACCCCTGTGTAATTGTCATTCCCAGTGCCTTCCCGGATCATTGGAGATGGGGCCAACTCCACAGTCCTTCTGGTTTCTGTCTCAGGCAGTGTGGTGCTAGTGGTCATTCTCATCGCAGCTTTTGTCATCAGCCGGAGGTAAGCACTGCCCCTCCCATTCCCCATTTTGTTTAGGAGGGAGCTTTCTGTCTCCTCGCACAAAGCTAAGGCTTTTGGTTAGCATCATAAACATGGCCTTTGCATCCTAAGCTCCCTCCTGGTTGCTTTGATCTTCCTCCCACATCCTTACCAAAGCTGCCACCTGTACCCTGGTGACAGTCCTCACTGCTGAGAGTTCCAGAAAGACCCAACTAGTTCCAGGAAACCAAACTGAACAGCAAGCCAATGCGAACTTTCTAGATCCTCTAAGCTGTAAGGTGTTACATTTATCTCTCTCTTAAGCCTGGGCTTACTACTAAAGGCAAGAAAAGCAGGGCCCAAAATTTGAGCTCTGCCATTTGCCAGCTATCATTACATAACCTATTTGAGTCTTTATTTCTCTTTTATAAAATAGGGGTATTCATTATTTGCCTTGAACAGTTATTGACAGAAGACTTCTGATAGGCAAAATAGACAATGCAAGCACACAGTAGGTGTTTCAACCTGACATTGGTTAATAATAATGGTGACTAAAGCAAAGAAATAGGTACTACACACAATCTTCCCTCAGGAAAGAGCATCAGCATTTCCAGAGAATATCCACAGAGTAGACTGTGGGCATGGCATTGCTCTTGGAAATGAATCTCAAACCGCAGACTACTTATCCTACGAGCCCCTACAATCTAACCTGATCTTTAAAAAATAATCTGAAAAGAAGAGAGAAATAACAGCAGCTTGGCCGCATATTCTTTTGAACTAGTTTTTCTTATTGTTGTTGCCTCCATTTGCTAATTTTTTTATTAATCTGTGAATGGAGTAAATTTGCTTGTCCACACTGCCCAGAGGCTCCAGCAGAATCATCACCCTGTGCCCACATCTAGGCCTTCTCTGTTTTCTGTGTGTGAGAAGCTACCTCTTTCCTGACCTTTGCCCCCCCCCCCATACCATCGACTGTTTCACAAGATGGGGCTTTTGGTGAAAAAGGGCAGAACCTGGGGATGTCAAAATGATCCTCTTAAATCGAAAGATTTTCGTGTCATAGAAGAGGAAAGTGACACTAGGAAGATGTAGAGCTTGTCCAGGGTCGTTACATCGCAGTGGTGGCGCCACTACTATGGTGGCCGTGCTTGGCTCTCAGAACAGCGTCTGTTCCATTGTCCCTCTCTGCCCGTCGATGATCTCACCAATGTCACAACAATGCCTTTGGCTATTTTCACTGGCCTGGGCAAGTCACCATGCTTTTGCTTCACTCTGACACGCATTATAATTAAGCTAGTTTGCCTGGATGGTCCCAGTTGTTACATGTATTTCTTAATATCGTGCCCCCACCCTCACTCTCCGAAGTGTCCAGGTATATAGGGACCAATTATGTTCACACTAATAACGACACAGGGTAGAACAACTCCACATTCTGCCCAGACATCTATATTTGTCATTGTGTTTATTCCTTTTGGTGCAAAATCTATAAATAGGTGTTTGATTAGAGTAGTGAGTCCCATCTTGAAGAAGTTAAATCCATGATAAATACTCATCCCTGTCACTGTAATACACACTTACAAAAACATACATATAGACATTGACATGCCCACTGTACCCTAAACAGTAGTATACTTCGGCCTTTGGAAACTTCACTTTGACCCGAATAGAATTTCATTCCCCAGTGTTCTTTCCTTCCCTGGCATTTGATTTTGGGAGCCAATCAAGATGACCCTCTTTCTTGTTCATTGCCACTTAATGTTGTGTATGTACACATGCCATGCATGCACATACTTGGGGAACTATAAGCACTAGGATATATCCATCTGATAGTGGGGACAGGGAG